AGGGGATTAGCATTTATGCTAAAACGAAGTGCTTTATGCTAATTCTGGTGGATGTTTATATGAACATTAAAGATTTAGTAATAAGTTATGGGCATCCATATAAATGCAGACTTCAGAGGGCTTACACCTGAATGACTTCATGGAGAATTTAGCCTTTATTATTAGGACAGTGATAATGTTTGACTAGCAGACATATCCACAATCTATAAAATTGCTTGCTCTGGCACAGTTTATTGGATTGTATTATTGTAGAGTTACTGCAGAGTGGAGGACAGGGAGTAGAAACTTAAGGCTCAAATTGGGGGTTATTTTTTGGGGGGGGAGATTTCTGTTTTTACAGTCTCAAATAATTGATACTGATACAAAAAAGTAGAATGCCAACAAAACTCCAATCAAGGAAACATTTTCTTCTCTTTAGATTCCATGTTTTAATCATCTTGTCCTCAATAGTAAGGGGTGCACAAATAAAAATTAGGGATACACTGATATTTTTTTTGTCAATACCAATAGCCAATTAACCAGCCATATTAGCCAATACGGATCCGATAACTGATTTACAGGAATGCAGCCAGGCACATGGAGGGCAGCACCCTGCAGGTAAGTCTGTGGAGGGGAAGGGGCACAGGGGAGGGAAGGGGCATGGGGGGGGCAGATCAAGGCCTGCACACAAATCTGGGGGCCCATGCCTCCCCCTGGGGGTGTGTGCAGCCTAAGGCAGCTGCCCCCCTCCACACCCTTACCCCCTGCACCTCCTGTGGCTCTGTCCTGCTCCTTGCCCTGGCCCTGGGTCCTATTCACTGCCCAGGCTAAGCAGCACCCCTAGCCTGAGCCCCAGTCCCTGTCCCACTCCCTTACTGTGGGGACCTTGATCTGCTCCCCACAGGTCCCTTCCCTCCCCACACCCCTTCCTCTCTCTAGACCTACCTTCAGGGTGCTGCTCTCCTATTACCTGGCTGTATTCCTGACCATGTGCATGGGTGCTGTTGCAAGCATACACAGGGCATCCAGGGGCTCTGGCCAGAAGGCATATTATATTTATTGGTGATGTTATCAGTTACACCAGCCAAAACAAGCCGATAGCCAATAATGTTAATTTTCCTTTTATCGGTGAGGATCTGATATGGCACCAATATATCAGTCGATGCACCTCTAATAGCAATACATTTGGAAGCAAAGTCATTCCCCAAGGAAATTCCCTTGCTTCAACTCATAAATGAATCTAGCTTAATTGCAAGAGGCCCTTTTTGGATGATGTCTTTTATTGCAACAATGAACTAGCCTTAGTGGCCTGTCATAATTGGTGTCCAAGTGATCAGCATTGCTAATTACCGAAGTGGAGGACCAGAGGGGAATTAAAGCAGATTTCTGAAAATGATTACATTACCTCTATGTATCACTTTAATTTGAAATATTGTGGTCAGTTATTTCCTGAAAAGCCAGTGTACTCTGCAGAAATATATGACCACCTCTCTGGTTAGCCTGCTGTATCATTTTTAGCAGTTGCCAGGGATAGTGAGGATGCGTATACAACCCTCCTTCAAATGCACCCAGTTCTGCAGTACTTTAAGGGATTTTTTTTCTCTAATCCACTTGCAGATAAATGTAGGCCTTGAGTGATGAGGGTTAATAGCCCTTCTACTTTTATCAGATAAAGAAATACATTGCTGTCAGTTTCCTGTGTGCGCTATATGGGTCCAAACACATATAAAATAAGCTTAAGAGAAACATTCTTCCTCTTTCCATTAACTGCTGCTTGGTTTTGTTGTTAATGTTTGATGATGCTTTCTTGGCCTGCTGTTTTGAGCTGTATGTGAGCTGAGTGCCCTCGTATTTAACAGCATTTAGCATTATAGAATTAAAATCATTTTAGAGCTCTCTAGTTAATGAATGGCAATTGCTGCTTTTGTCTTAATTAAGCTCTATATATTATAAACATATCAGTGAGTTTTGGTTTCTGTTGTTTAAAACCTAAAGCTTTATCTTACCTTTATTATGGGCATACAGACTCTAACTTTACTGAGTTACTTGCTTGGAATAATTCTAGAACTAGGTCCTTGAGGTAGATGACGTGCTTGTTAACTACTTGTTGGTTATTCCAGCAGACTGGAAGGAGATACAATCTGTTCCTGAAGCGACGTCTCAGGGTAAAACAGTGACGAATGATACTGCTAGTGGCTTGAATGGTTGCAGTGATGCTTCAACATGCTTCAACTGTGTGATGTCTTTTGTTAATTGGGAGCAAAGTTCATATTCAGATAAATACTCCACAACTCTTTTAGAGAGCTTTTATACTTCCATATGAGGGTACAGGGTATCCAGGACAAAATTCGTTCCACAGCCAACAATGATATACTCCTTTGATAAGCAATTCTTTTTTCCATCTTAATAAAATATAGAGGTGAGCCCTAAAGACTAAATTTAGCCCTTTATAAACACATGAGCTAAGTACAGACAGTCAAAAAGCCCAAGGTTGAATTGACTCAGTCTTTGCAGGTTTTTTAAATATGTAAACTACATAGATTGAACCAATAAGAAAGTGAACTGATGTTTACTTTTCAAACAAGAAATGCAGCCAGGCTCTTGCAGTGGCCTATACTAATAGCAGGGGATGCTAGAGCTCACCTCCCAGCCTGCTGGCCAGTGCAGAGGTGGAGCCCTCTGATTCACTAAGCCATGCCCTCTCAGCCCACTGCCTGTGCAAGGAGTGGTGGTGGGAAAAAGCTACTTCTCCCACCTGGCACTGGACCCCCATTCAGGAACAGCTTGGGGCAGGGGGAAGGAGGGGAAGCTGGAACTGGGGCTTTACTCTGCCACCCCCTCCCCACCAGCTGGGAGCAGGGTTGGAATCTCCTAGCCATTCCCCCTTCTTAGCCTCCCAGCTGGCTGAGGCAGTGGGGGAGGGAAGTCTGCCCCTAGGCTTGGCTCTGCCCCCTGAGCTGGGAGCCATGAGCCATGCCCCCTCCTCAGCCTCTGGGTTGGCTGAGGGCCCAGGGAAGGGGAAGAGGAGAAGCCTGCACTGGGGCTTGGCTCTGGCCCCAGAGCTGGGAACCAGGAGCCACACTTTTTCTCAGGCTCCTGGCTGGCTCAGAGGAGAGAGAAGCCTGCGCTGGGGCCTTGGCTTCCTCCCTCCTGAGCTGGTAGCCATGCCCCCCTCTGAGCCAGTCTAGGGGCTGAGGAGGAGCATGGCAAGGGGACTCCAGTCCTGCTTCCGACTCTGGGGGAGCAGAGCCAAGGCCCCACTGCAGGCTTCTCCCTCCCCCCCAGCCAGCTGGGAGAATGGGGGTGTGGCTCCTGGCTCTGAGGGTGGAGCCAAGTCTTGGTGTTGGCTTTTTCCCGCCCCCCGCCCTCAACCATCCAGACAAGTGACACACAGTAGCAGGAGCCACCCTTCCCGCGCCCCCCAGATGAGCCACGACTTTCAGGACATGGTGGTGCATGTACCTCTGGATTGGGGCGGGGCAGAAAGCAGAGTGGGAGCTCTGGGGGGGCTGCAGCCACCTGAAAATTCACTGTAGCTGCCACCACCTGCCTGGAGCGCAGCCCGGTGCAGCCCTGGCACTACCCATCCTACCCCACACAGATGTGGTGGTACAAGGCCCCCATGCCCTCCCACACCAGAGGCAGGAGCAGTGGTAGAAACTGCTGGTTAAGCCACCAGACCAACAGCACACAGTGGCAGGGGCCACTGCCCCCACCTCCCTGCAGCTTCCTGGCCCTGACTGGGCAGCACTTGCCCCAGCCCTGATCCCAGCCCCAATCCCTCCCTCACCGCAGGGGTTGTTGATCTGCCCTCCCATGCCCCTTCCCTTCCCCTTCCCCTTTCCCTTCCCCTTCCACCACTTACCAGCTGCACACAGTATTGACCATCGTAAAGGAACTAAACCACCATTTGTAACACTGGTCCTATAGGAAAACTGGTTCCAAGTTACAACTTTTCGACTTAAGACACGGTTTTCAGGAACCAGTTATGTTGTAAGTCTGAGGACTGCCTGCATAGATCTTTTTTTCTAGAGAAAACTTTGTGTTCGGTTACCTGGAACTAACCAAAACTGGTACCATAGCAGATATTGAGATAGTTATGTTTACCTGGTTACATTTAAAGCATTATTTCTGTAACACAATTTACTGGAAGAGATTAGATTTTATTTACTATTATATTTTAATTATATTATATTTTAATTTTATATTTACTATTATATTTATATTTATATTTTATCCTGAAAATTAAAATACAGAATCAACACTTGGATTTTTTAAAAAAATGTTCACTTTATACAGTAGATTAATGGATTTTAATTCTTTTTTTTTTTAAGGAAGGAAATTTAAGGGAAATTTTGCAGATGGCTAAGATTTAGTTTGTGTAGTTTTTGTTTTCTAATTCTTGATGTAACCAGTTAAGTTAATCACTGGGCAGTGTTTCTGGATAGTTGCTGCTTTAGAAGCCCTGGTTTGAAAGAGAGTAGGTGCATGAACTGTCTTTACTTTTACAGCTGTTGCTGTGCCTCTTGCTTTGACATTTTTCAGCTGTTCTCTAGTTTGCTCTTGCTTTAAGGAGTGCTATAATTAACTCTGCAGTATAAAAACCATATTGACGTATAACGAAACACTTGATATAGTTTTTGAGAGAAGCTTTAAACTGTTTTGAAAAAGAGGCATTTCTGAAAACTGAGAAATCTTTAAATCTAGCGTTGCTCACAGGCATTACTATATTAATGTATATCATTTTAAGCTATATGTAGCATATGTTTCAAGCGGATGCCCAGTGCTTGTACATAGACAGCTGGAAATTCCTTCTCAACTCTCCTATAACAGATGGAACTATTGTTGAAACTCCATCGTAGACACAGGTACCTTTAACTGTGAGGAAAATGAAGAACTGAACCCAACTGAGGAAGCTACTCTGTTCTTCTGCTGTGTTTTAGAGCAATGTAAAATTTGATTTTCAATTGTTTACCCGTGCTCTTCACAGATTGACAAACGGCACCAAAGCAAGGATTCTGTTTTCTTCAGGGATGGGGTCCGGCGAATTGATTTTGTACTTTCTTATGTGGATGACCCAAATAAAGACGAGGAAAAGAAAGCGGTAAGTTTCTTTTTTGGTATCTTCTGAACACCAGCTTTCCCTGGTTTTTGCCTGGATTATTTTTCTTCTGGAGAAGCCATTTTTTGCTCTGAGGAAAAAAAACCCTTGAACCTGTGTACACTTGTGTTTTCTATTGGGAAAGCAGTGACTCCCCCAGTAGAAACTAATGTCTGTACATGGCCTTAGATTTGTTTGAAATTGCCATCAGCAGCTACCATCAGAGCTCCAAACTTTCCATCCTCATTGTAAGTCAATGTCTCTGAAATAGCAGTTCATGGTAGCTGGCATTCAGTCATATCTACCTGACTAGAGTTTATTACACAGGTTGCTTCTCTTTTTATTTTTTACTAAAATATGTTTCATGTTGCAATCACCCAAGCCTTGAGCTTCCAGTGTTTTGATATGTTTGTCAGAAGACCAAAGGCAGAAAATTCTGTGAAGGCCCTTGATTTTGGAACTGACTCCTTGAGGAGCATTGAGCTACTTGGATCATGCTGAAAAGCCAATCTGTTGACCAGGGTTATGAAGGCTGAATATGAATGATTATACACATGACTATTATTTCAACTGAAAAGCTCATGTATGCATTTTGTATGTGCTTGTATTATATGTGTACATGTATTAGTAAGATACCTTCTGTGTTCAGAAAACATACTGGATCATTGCATTTTAATAAGCATGTGCAACTAATAGCCCTAATAACTGTATGGTTAATTCAGATTTCCTTCATTGGAAGAATACCAGAAGAATAATTTTACATTATTTAATTTGTGTTCAAATGAAGAAGTTGAGTTCTTGATACTTTGTAACTTAGAGCAGCAAGTAGCTCTGTTAAACTCCTTGTTTAAATTATTATATAAACCTCCTTTTCCTTTAGGGTAATTCTGTGTCCTTCCCTTATAATAACCAGATGAAAATTCTGGGTTCCTGAGGCTAAGCTCATGTGTAGAGATAAGAGCTGATTTTGGCTTTTGCTAGTTATTTGAGAGAGAGCTTTTGTGTGAAGATTTTCCTCTGTTTAATGTACACAGTCAATTACTAATGCCCAAAGGGTGAAAAGTCTGATATCTTTATTAAGATAGATGTGAGATCCTTGGGCCACCATTTATGTCCACCACCAGTATTTTACAAATACCTTCACTAAGTGCATTAATATATGTTCATTTCTTGAAACACTGATGCTAAATTTTTCAAAAAATTAAAACAATCGATCTAAGGCAATGAGACTATGAATGTTAGAGCATGCCAGTTAATGGGAACCATCATTTTATGATGTGCAGCATGTCTGGGAAAGACTAAATAAGGTACGCACCTAAAGAAATACAACATTTGGTGGTTCACAGGGTAAATGTGATTTCTTTATTAGATCAACTAAATGGTTGGCAAAATTGTTCTTTGCAAGCTTTCAGGTACAAACACCCTTCTTCAGGCACAGGGAGAGTTTGTTGTTTCTTTGTGTGCTCTCTTGGGTGAAATGGAAGCCAGTATGCAAAATGCAGGTCTATGAAAATGCAAATGCTGGCAGGGAGGATCAGAGGCCCTGGGAGACAAAGGGTGTGAGACAGGTAGGACCAACATAGCTACAAGCAACAACCCTAAAGCATTTGGTGGTTTTGTATTCATGTAGATAACAGCATCTGGGCAGGGTTTTGGGCCAGATTACGACTGAGGTCTCTTCCAATCTTTTGGTTCTGTGTACAGATTTGTACTGCTGTCCTTACTCAGGTGAGTAAGAGATGTACTTGGGCCATGCCGTTGCACAGCTGCTAAATAGAACTGTATTTGTTTAACTGTTAAAGTGTCTAAAATGTAATTTAGAGTTTCACCAGCAGGCACTCCTTTATTAAATTAATTTGATCTATTTTCTTGTGAGGTTCATGGAGGATTCTTACATCTCCCATAACCTCCTGAGACTTGTGATGGATGAGGTCTGTATAAGGTTGTCGGTAAAAGGGCTTTTATTCTTAATTACTTGCTTTATACTCCCAGTAAAATGATCTCAGTGTCTCCTCTGCTAGGCTTTCTGACTGGTATCTTGCTTTATTACCGAACTATTTGTAATTTATTATCTTTATTATTACAAATCCCTGTTGTTTTAAAACCAGGCTCAAAATATCCATGGAAATGGATCTTGTAGACAACAAAGTACGAAGTCCAAGCTTACTGTGGGTTGCTGTAAAATACCACTTAGCAAGTTCTCAGCAAAGCACAATAGCCACAGTGGTGACATTGGATCAGGTTTCCAGAAGGAATCAGAAAGTGGCATTTCTGTTTGTTCTTTGTCTACACTGAGATTTTGGACCTGATTCAAGAAATGCACTCATTCAAGCCATTTTTTACATTGTAAGCTCCAGTCCTGTCAACCTCATGAATTGAAAGGAATCATTAATTGGCCAAAAAATTCTAAAGATGTTTTAAAATATACTTTAGATTATTTTGGCTTTTTAAATTTTCCTTCAGCCTTTTGAGCCATTACAGGTTCAATTTACAAGCTGTTCTCAGCAATCACAAGCAGCCAGAACCTGATTTTCTTTTCAAAACGAAAGCTGAGATGCTCACGTAATCTCATATTTCCAAGGGCAAATGATGCCTTAATGAAAAATCTCCGGAAATTTATGCTTGTGGAGTTCCGTGAAATAACAGACCTTCTTTAACCAAACACAGACACATAAAAAGAAGAAAACACACAAGTATTGTGTATTCCCTTTGTAGGAGGAAGAACAATTGGAAAGAATAGCTGTTTTTCTCTGGCAGTCAAAACACAGAGCCATGAAAAGTTGGCTCTCAAAACCCAGGAATTTTATTTTGATAAATGAAATAAACTAAAATAGCTACATAAAGCAAATAAATAATCAAAGTTCTCCAGTGTGTGTACATCGTCTGAATCTGAACATCTTGCAGTCTGCCTTTCTTAACTGTCCCCGTTCAGCTTATGTGTTCAAACCAAGACGGGGTTAATTACAGCTGTTATTTAAAGAAAATGGGTGCCTATAGACTTGTTCCAACATATTCTAATTAGAATGTGTTGGAGTAGACTTGATTAATTGAGTCTGGTGGAGCGTTCTAATTAGAATGCTCCAGTATGCCTCACTATCATCTGTATTGAGCGCCCTGTGTTTCAGAATGGTGGTGGGGAGGGGAGGGCTTTATTTAAAACTCATTTAATGAGCTTTAGTTAAAGTGCCCTCACAGCCATTTTGAAATGTTGGATGCTTAATACATGTAATGGTGAGACATTTTAATTAGACTGGCTCTCTGGGAACCATTCTAATTAAAATGCGCCTCCCCTCCCCTGGAGTTTCCCCAGGATAATCTCTGCAATGACAGGACCTCTGTATATAGAGCTGTATAAACACTGGGAGTGTTTGCATGAGATGCTACTGACAGTGGTTACTGCTCATTTATTTAGCACTTGTATAATCAAGTGCTAAATAAATGCACAGTAACCAGAGTTACTGCACAGTAGCGCCGGCGGACACCTTTTAAGTAACATTACTTTGCAGTAGCCTAATAATAATGTGCAGTAATATTAGTATTAGCACTGTTGGTGCTGTGATATGTTACTGTGTAGTATTATTTGGCTACTGTGCTGTCCACATCTCATGTAGACACACTCACTGTGAACCAGTTATAGTGTGGAGATATGTTTCTTGGGAGACTTCTGAGAAAGTAAGATTCACCAGTGTATTTAGGGCCAGTGTAAGGCCAGTGCAGTGAGGCCAGCAAAGTTGTACAGGCTAAGAATAGAAAGGTTCCTAGGAGAAGGAGCAACATTTTTTATAGCAGGTTTTGAGTACTTGCTTCAGAGAAATAGCTTTGGATTTCCTAACTTTGAATAGAATTCATTTCTATAGAGCAACAGTCTGCTTCAGATGAAAGCACTTCATGTATTAATAGGCCTATCTTTCCTCTTAGCTTCATACAATGCAAACCCATATACTTGATAATGCTAGTTTTTTGCGTACCCCCAAGAGCTCTACAAGCTCAGACTGGAAAAGCTGCCAAGTTTCTTGAGAGAAACTTCTTGAGAGAAATCTCCTTTTAAGAAAATAGTCTTATTGAGATAATCAGCTAATTCAACTCTTAAGTTAACATGGTGGTTGCTTAAGATTAGAAAAGTCACAAAATTACACGTGGAAGCAAAATGTGTAAATATAATATATTGATTGAATGCTTTCTGATAAACAGCGCTTTCCTTATCATCCATGTAAAATAAGATGAATGGGACTGCAATGTGTGGCTGTCCACCCAGATCTGAACTCTCAAAGGCTCCCTCTACACCAGAGCTTTCCAAACTTTTCATGTTGGTGACACACTTTTTAGATATGCATCATTTCGTGACACAGTAATTCAGTTCCGGGGGAGGGGCCAAGGGAAGCAGACGCGAGTAAGGGAGCTCCGCGGTGCCCTTCAGCAAAATTTTCTGCATTTCGTGCGACACACTTACACACTGCCGCCGACAGACTAATGTGTCGCGGCACACAGTTTGGAAAGCTCTGCTCTACACGTTACAGGTAGAGGAATTTAGCCTGAGACCAGCTACATGTGCAAAGTACCCATCATGCCATAAAAAGCTCCAACCAGCTCTAAAGTTAGACTTTGAAAATGTGTATTAATGTTATAGCTGATTGCTATTGAGCTTTAATTCAGTTACCAGGGCTCCCAGCTGCAAGGGGGCAGCATACCCAGCTGGGGCTGGGAGTCCTGCAACTGAGGGGACTCTCAGCTGTAGCAGCTGCCAACTCTGGGTCCTGGCAGCACTCTGGACCTGCAGATGCTGGGTCCCCACAGTGTGCCTCCCGGTGCCAGGACCCAGCTGAGTCCTAGCAGCCATGGAGCATCTCACATGCCATCTCACAGCCCTGGGGCTATATGAAACCTCTGGGGCTGGGAGATCATGGCCACTGCAATCTCCTTGCCAGTACAAGGGCACGTTTCGCATGGCAGGAGGCACAATTTTGTAGATTGGGCATTAGATCCCATCATGTCTTTGTCTGCGT